ATAGTAATACCATTTGATCCAGCAAACCCAGTTCTAGGAATATATTCTAAAGAAGTGAGAGCCAGGACACAAATAGATATATGCATGCCCATGTTCATTGCAGTCCTGTTCAAAGTAGCGAAGAGATGGAAACTACCTAAGTCCCCATCACTGGATGAATGGATAACCAAACTATGGTACGTTAATCTACAGGTAGATACATAGGCAGACAGGCAAGATCATCAGGTATGGGTAGGCGAATGGGAATATACCCATGACCATATATAGGTTTGTCAGATGTTTCTGTATGTGCATTTGTATGGGCTATAAAAACGTCCGTATATAAAGGAGAGTGAACAGGGAGCAAACTTACGATGACTTCTTAGCCACAACCAAACATCTTGAGTGAGAGTTAGTCACTAGGCCTGCAGGCTCGGGGCCATGGTCACTGGGAACGGCAAGCTCAATTGGCATAGTATACTACATAAAGACATTGTTCAACATCCAACTTTGGTGAGTAGCAACTGGGTTCTTCAAGGCTTGTGAGTGGCCATCTAAGATGCAACTATTGGTCTGACCTCACCCAGAGCAAAGAAGAGTGAAGAAAATCAAAGATGCATGGAAATAATTAGGCCAAGGGACTAGTGGACCATGGGAACCTTATTCTCCATGATCCTGAGACCAGAAGAACTAGATGGCACCCAGCTACTGCTGCCAACCAGTCTCCAAACAAAATGGGAAATTCTGGATAGAGTGGGAGAAAAATGTGGCCCAAAACTCAAAAGCATAAATCAGACCAGGCTTACTGGTCTGATAGAGACTGGTGAAACCCCTTAGACTATGTTCCCTAGTCACCCTTCAGGCCTGAAATTGAACTCACTCCTGTGGTTTAACCTTCAGCCAAACAATCGACAGGCCTACCAAATGAACAGTTACACTAGCAAGGTGCACTCCTTAGAACAATCAACCATGGGAGATCTGAAGGACAGCATTTGCACAGAGAAATAGTTCAGGGGGCAGGAATGCACAGGAAAGAAGGACACAGGGAAAGGTAACCACTGACAGGAAGTGGGAAAAGAGCTGTTACATTGTGGGGATTACAATCGACGTCATGAAGCAAAATATGTATGATGTTGAATGAAAAGCAATTTTTCTTTGTAATCTTTCACCCAAATCAATAAGAAGTTAAAAAAGAAATGTTGTCATTTAATTGTCTTTGGTCATGGCAGACTATGAGTCCTTGAGCGTGGGACCCTGTCTTACTCCACAAGTGTTTGCTGCTTGGTAAACACTCAAAGATATCTGTTGAATGTATAAATATAAGAGGAAAGGCACTGGCTAAAGATGACATTCATTTATTTCAGGAAGTTAGAAGGAGCTTTAAATATGACACAGACTAATCTTTTACGGTTCAGTTGGGGGAGACTGACACACAGAGAGGGTCAATCACCCAGCCAGTGCTACTGTCTGCTCAGTCAACACCTTCCTATCCACCTCATATTTCTCTTAGAAAAGTCATTAGTGAGTTTAAGCAACATATGTCTATTGCTCTGCACAGTCTTGAGTTGGACACACACAAGAATGGGCTTTGGGACTGCATAGGGCATTGCAGTAAACCAAGACACAAATCTGTATCATGATAGGCAAAAATGGAGAGTTGATGTGTGGCATCTGGCACTGGATAAACACTTGGTGAGCAGTGCTGGCACTGGGTAGAAGGACCCCATAATTTGTATGAATGGAGGGAGTAGAGGCATAGGCTGTCCATGTGGGGAAAGCTGGTGGACACCACACCAGAGCAATGCAGATGGGTTTAGGGTGAGGACTGTCCCTCATCCATCACTGCCAGTGGTGATGCTTTCCATAGGGTAACTTTGCTCTATAAATATCTGTTAAGGGAATGAATGAGTGGATGAACAGGCTGTCCATGTGGGGAAAGCTGGTGGACACCACACCAGAGCGATGCAGATGGGTTTAGGGTGAGGACTGTCCCTCATCCATCACTGCCAGTGGTGATGCTTTCCATAGGGTAACTTTGCTCTGTAAATATCTGTTAAGGGAATGAATGAGTGGATGAACAAATACCTTCTGATGATCAATCCGATTTGAGAAGCATAGCTCTGGCTCAGTCTCTCCTTTCAAACAAAGACGCAGAGGTCCAGGGAGCAGCCTGGTCTGAGGTCACACAGCACTGCAGTGAGATGAGCCCTCAGCCACTGGCATCCACCCCCATTCCAACCCCCAGCACTTCCTTCCTTGCCTCAGCTTTGCATCGTTGCGGTGCCTTTAGATAAATTCTGTGTCCTTCTTTGCTGAGGAGTACCAGAAGATGCCTTGTCTCCACCACACATTTTTTATATTGCATACAAAATACTTAAAAGAAGGCGAGCTCTTCAGGGGACAGCTAAAACAGTGGAGTCAAGGGCCAGCACACTCCGCGTCACAGAGAAGGGAGCTGGCGCGAGAGCCAAATTCTTCAAAGCTTCTCCCCTCCATTCCTGCTCCTCAGTGAACTGGAGCATAGATGCTGCTCTCCGTAGTCATGGCAACTGGCTGATTCAGAACCTGGATAAGAGTCAGAGCTGAACTTTCTACCAAACTCTCCAAGATGCCTGGCTCCCAGCTGCTTCCCTGCTTCCTCCAGCAAAGCACCTCGCTCACTGAGCCGATCTGCGGGTTGCTCCTTACAAAGTGCTCAGGGTTGGGTGCAAATCCTCAGGCTCCAAGCACGAGATTGAGGCAAGCACCATTTTAGGGCTCAAACAGTGCCAGAGCCCCAGCCCACTTCTGTAGAGAGTAGACCTGCCAAGGCCACACAGTGACTGACATCAGAGTTGTGGCTAGAACTGTGTCCTCCTGACTCCCAGTCCAGTGCTTGGGCCATATTGCACCGTCATAAGAACAGCTAGCATTTATAAGGCATTTGACTGCTAACCAGAAGGCTGGTGGTTCAACCCTACCAGCCATTCCTCAGAAGGAAGGTTGGGCAATCTTCTTCCATAGTGATACTGCCTCAGAAACCCAAGGACGAGGGGGTCACTATGAGTTGGATCTGACTCGGCAGCAGTGAGTTTGTTTTTGGTACTATGTGCCAGACACTGTGCTAAGCACTTAACAAGCATTGTCTTGTTTGAGCTCCAAAGGGACCCCAGAGAAGGCACTATCATCCCCACTGTGCAGATGAAACCGAGAGCTGGAGACATGAAGCCACATGTGCACCAGCTGCCCACACTGCTTGTTGAGAGAAATCAACAGGGAAAGAGAGAGGAGTCTGGAGAGCCATCGTGAGGTGGTGACAGGTGGGGCAGAGGGTGAGGCCCTCACTTCCCCCTAATGCAGGGACTTGGCTTGTAAGTTTGCAGATATTTATGTGTACGTATGGCACACACAGCTTGCACTTAACTACTTATCTAGACATTGGTGGTTTGAACCCACCCAGCAGCTTCAACAATCTATTTCTATGAAAATATGAGCCAGGAAAACCCTAGGGGCAGCTCTAGTCTGCAACACACAGGGAATTGACTCAGTGTAAGTGGGTTTGATATGTATCTCAAGGTGTGGCCTGAACATTATCTTCCACAAATAGAATGGCATTTCACCATGAGATTCAGGGCATCCCTGACATGTATTGCTTCTGTCCTATGAGCAACTTCTTCTGTATGTAGAGCACTTTCTAATCCAGTATCTCAACCAATGCTGACAGCCCCCTGTAGGGTACACAGTATGGTGAGCCTGTTCCCACTGCACAGAAGACACTGAGGTCCGAGATGCAAAGGCACTCGCTTCCCATCCAGACACTTGTTCTATGCTCGCCCCCAGGGCTGTGAATGATCCGCTCCTGGCCAGACACCTACAATCTGCCAAATGAAGGCCCAGGCCGTCATGCTTCTGAGTCCACCAGAAAGCCCAAGGCTCTCATTATGGGGCTGACCCAGCCCAGAAACAAGCTGGATTTGGTTAATTTGTACCTTGGCTCCTGATACTTCAGTCTGGGCCATGTTAATTATCCTGGCCTGAGGTCTTGGCCCTCTGGTCTGTTTCAGAGTTAACCCAGTTAGTTTAGCCTGGTGTGGGGTAATCTGCTGGAGCTGTGATTGTTTGGGCTTTGATGTCACTGCTGGAAAACGTGTAGGCACTTGAGGGGAGACCTGGATTCCAGGGAACTGCTGTGGGAGACCTCATTTAGATGGGAGGAGAGGGGGATGTTCATCTCAGTAGAAACCGAATGAGAAAGAGGAGGCCGTTTTATGATGCTCGTGTGTCCCTTGTAATGTCACTCGTTCATTAAACAGTTGCTTACTGAACATCTATTTAGTATCAGATTTCAACAACCCTAAAGTAAACAAGACACTTAGTCCCTGCACTCAAGGCATTCCTAGCCTAGAAGGGGAGATATTCCCTAAACTGAAAATTGTAATGTGATATAGTAAGTTCCCACCACCCAACTGTCAGTTTGTCATACTGTGGTGGCTTGTGGGTTGCTGTAAGGCTGGAGGCTATGTCATCAGTATTTCAAACACCAGCAGGGTCACCCATGGTGGACAGATTTCAGCAGAGCTTCCAGACTAAGACAGACTCAGAAGCAAGCCTTATGGATCACCACTGAACATTGTCCAGTGTACAGCCCCCTGGCATGGAAGGATCATGAACATGGTATACGACTGGGCCACGTTTCTTTCTCTTACACAAAAGGTCACTGTGAGCCGGAGTCAACACGATGACAACTAGTAACAACAATAGTAAATTATACAGAACAGCTCAGAGGGTCATGAAAGCCCACAGAGGGCACCTGGGGACGATGGGCAGTACCGTGGAGAGTTCCTAGAAGATGAATGGGAATTGGCCAGGAGAGTGGGGCCCATGAAGGCCCAGTGCTGTGTCTTAATTCTGGGCCTTCATGTGACTGCAGAAGATACAGTAAACCAGAACAAAAGGTTGGGGAGGGCAAGTGATGAGAGTGGGAGGAAGGGGGCCGGCTCCTGCAGGGTCAGGTAGACAGGTGCACATGAGTCATGACTCACCTCCGGATCTTGTTAGAGTGCACAGGCTGATGCAGTAGGTCTGGGCGAGGGCCCGAGCGGACACATCTCCAGCCAATGCAGGTGATGCTGACACTGTCAGTCTGGTACCACACTGGGAGTAGCAAGACTGTAGATGCTAAAAAAAGGTGTGCACTTGATTCTGAGGGTCGGCCTACACAGACAAGTGCAGCCTTCTGCTGTGTGCTAACCTCCTGCAACTGGTGCATATGATTTCATTCAGTGTTCAGAGTTGAGAGTGTGTGAGCGTGTGTGTGTGTGTGTGTAGCAAATATTCTTATATATCCAAAATCGCCCCCTTCCCAACTTCAGGTCAAAGGCCAGAGGAACCATATAGTGAAAAATCAACCCAGCATTTCTTACCCAGTTCAGCCAAGTAGGTCAGGCTCCCAACCTGCCTACGTTTTGAACTCTCAGTACAGAACACATCGCTTTGCTGCCCTGCAGTCAATCCCAGATCCAGCCAGTCATTTCTCCCTCCACAGGCCTGCCAGTCGATTGCCTGTTTGCTGGTGAAAAATCAAAACTCAGAAAGGCTGATTGGGTTTGATTGTTGGGGCTGCCGGAAATGTAGGCTACCCCCAACTTAGGAACGGCTGAATTCCAGGGTGTCGTGGTTACCCCCTAAAAAGGTTAAGAAGGGTAATTAGGTGATGGTGGGAGTGTGCCCAGGTCCTGGCGTCCAACTGCCAAGCTGTGCCACCATGAGCAAGAACATTTCCTGCAGCCCAGGCCACACTTGGAAGCTTTTTATCGCTGGAATTGTAAACAGGCTAGACTTTTCTGGGGGAGGGCAAATTGCTGATTCTATTTCCCAGCCATGGGAGAGACTGTGAGGAACTTTGGTGGCACTGTTATTAAAACATTCAGCTGCTAACCAGAGGTTGGCAGTTCAAACCCACCAGCTGCTCCATGGGAGAAAGATGAGGCAATTTGCTTCCATGAAGATTTACAGCCTTGGAAACCCTATAGGGGCAGTGCTACTCTGTCCTGTAGGGTCACTGTGAACAGGGCTTGACTCGATGGCAGTGAGTTGGGTCTGGCTTGGTTTGGGGAGGGGCTGGGCCAGGTGAGTCCTGTTTGGGCATCACAGCCAGTGCTGGAGGAGAGACCAATCAAGCAAGAGTCTTGTGGGAAGAGGGAGGCAGCCCCCACCCTCAGAGGAAACACATAGCCCAGGGAGGAGGAACCTTGGGACAAGACCTGGGAGTGAAAACTAGTCCCCAGAGGTGCTGCTGGGACCATTCATTCACTTATTCTTCATTCAGTCATTCATTCAGTAAATATTTATTGAGCACCTACTATGTGCAGGCCATGTTGTAGGCACTGAGGACACCACAAGAAACAAGAAAGAACAATCCCTGCCTTAGTGAGGCTTGTGTTCTACTAGGAGTGGAGGGGACAGAGGAGAGGAGGAAAATAAACATAACGCAGTAGTAAAGACGTACACTATTAAGGAGTCCCTGGGTGGTCCAAACGGTTAAGGGCTCAGCTACTAACTGAAAGGTTGGTGGTTCAAACCCACTTAGAGGTGCCTGAGAGGAAAGAGCTGGCAATCTGCTTACAAAAGAACAGCCATTGAAAACCGTGCGGAGCTCTGTTCTAAAGGGAAACACATGGACTAGCCATGCATCAGAACAGAATCAATGACAACTGGGCTAGGTAGACTATTAGTCTGTCCGTTGTAGAACTCCCCATCCACAGGAAAAGCTGGGACAGGACTTGAGAACCTCTCACAGGGGTGAAAACGGCAAAGACCCAAGAGAAGAACCGCCCTGAGCAGTGAGAGGACATCTGTGCCTGGAAGATACAAGGCAGCTGTATGGAGGAGGCACTGATGACTGGTCCAGGAGGGCTGGCAGGACCTGGTGGTTCAGCTCTTCAGGGGAGACTGCCTGCCTGCCTGGTCACTCACCAGCTCGGTGGCCTTGGGCAAGTCCCTTTGCCTCTCTGGTGAAATCATGAAGCACAGTCACCTTATGGGACTGTTGTGAGGATGAAAAGAGGTGATGTACGTCTGATGGCCTGTGATGACACATGGTGGCATTTGAAATACCAGCCATGTTTTCCAGCGACAAGTCACAACGGTCTCCAGCCTCACTTGCAAAGCTTGCTGACGCTGATCCACTTACCCCAACAGCCCAAGGCCAGGGGTTCTGGGAAGGGGGAAGGGAAGGGAGGTCCCTGAGTGTCCCAGCAGATTCTCCCTGGACTGGGACCTTGGCTCCTCCCCATGAGCCAGCTGAGCGGCTACTTCAGAACCTAGAAATGGCTCTTTCCCACCCCTGCTGCATCCCAGCATCTCTCCTCTCGAGTGCCCAGGGATGAATTTGTCCTTCCTCCTCACTGGCCCCTTTCCTGAGCTGGAACTGCACACAGGGCCTTCTGAGAGCTGGCAGAGTTAGGACTTAGCGCTCCTGGAGCGACCCATGCACACGCACGACGTTCCTTCCCAAGGCTGAGGTCTGGAAGGAGATTGCTTACAAGCAGAGAGGGAGCCGCTTCTAAAATCTGCAGAGAGGACAGAACAGACAAGCCACAAATCTCGGTGGCAGGCGGCGAACTCCCGAGGTCTGGGCTCGTTAGTTTTAAAATAACACAGCAGAGGAGTGAGATAAAGGGCTTCGGCGGGGGAGGCTGCCAGACACCTTGCCTCACGCTGCTGGAGACACAGAGGGGCCCCGCTCATCTCTCCTCCCAGGTTCCAGAACCCGAAGCTGCCTGCTCTGCTCGGGCAGGGGCTGTGTTGCCTCATCACAGAGTCAGAACATGTCAGAGTGAGGCCAGCCCTTGGAGCACAGTGAAAACAAGCAGAGGCCCAGAGGGACCAAGGGACAGAGTCAAGGGCACACAGCAGGCTAGGGGCTGAGTAGAGTCCCCCATTCAGCAATTCTGAAGCTGCAACAGAGGCTGTTGGTCAGATCCTATACCCCTATAACAGGTTGCTATGAGGTTGTTATTCATGCCCCCAAAATGCCCCTCTTAGTAGGTTATGCCCACCCTGCTGAGGGGCAGGCCATAGCCACTCACTGACTGACACGGGAGCATAAAAGACCTGCCATTTTACCACCAACCAAACCCAAACCCACCACCATCAAGTCGATGCTGAGTCCTAGCAACCCTATGACAGAGTAGAACTGCCCCATAGGGCTTCCAAGGCTTTGCAGAAATAGATCGCCTCAGCTTTCTCCCACAGAGCAGCTGGTGGGTTTGAACTGCCTTTACATGAAGGTGGGACCTATTCTGTGGTGTAATTCCCACCCCAGAGCGCCCCATGGGATCAGACGGAGGCTAGACGCCAGGTGAAACTACATTTTAGCTTTCTCCTGCTTCCCTCAGTCCCACTCTCCGGGACCATACCCTTAAGAGGGCTGGCACCAACATCCTTGCTTCAGGCTCTGTGTCCAGTGAATTCCTTCTAACACAGGTCCTCAAGACACACCAAGACCAGGTCATTCTCCATTAAACACAAAGCAATGGTTTTGTATTGCCTGGAGTTGGAGGGAAAAGGGTTCAGACTTCAGCTTTGCTGCTTCCTGGCTCTGTGATCACAGGACATCATTTAATATCACGGAACCTCAGTGAAAAAATTTAAGCCTCAAGTTGCAATATTGAGAGATTCTATGGGCAAAATATTGAATGATGCAGGAAACATCAAGAGAAGATGGCAGGAATACACAGAGTCACTGTACCAAAAAGA